TTTTTTTTTTTTTTTTTTTTTTTTTTTTTTCAGTGTAGGTTCACCCCTAAACTGCTGGTCCAAGCAAATAACTAATCAGCCAATCGCATTGCAGCGACTCGGTTTAGGCATGTTGACATTGTCAAAGCGATCTGCTGTTCAAACCAAGGATCAGAAGTGCTGGTTTGAGTACTTTAGAAACTGCTGATCTACTGGGATTTTACCAGTTATATTGTCATTTGTATTGTTCTATACCAAACAGTTTGAATGTCGATACAATTCATTTTTAAGATGCATATCATTTAATCACCTAATAAGAGGTGATATCTGTAAGCGCTAAGACCCACTGTTACATTATTTTGTAGATTGGAGACTTGCTGAAGACGGTTTAAAAAGTAGAAAACATTTTTAAATCAATAAAATGAATGCTTGGGTACCATCCCACTTGCTCTACCTCTTTGTTTTATTTATATAAAATCAGCTGTATGCACCTGTCTGTTTCATTCACTTATTTGACAATGCAGGATGAGGTCAGTTCCAGAAGTCCATTTCCTAATCACATCTATGATTGCAATGACTAACTTTCTGTTTATTCTTTTTCTTCGTATCGGAGTTCTTTTAGACAACCATGAACTGGTCATGCTCTAAAGGACAACCAAATCCAGATAACACTGTGCTTACACATGAATTTCATTGATTGATTTGCCAACACTGGATTCATAACGGTATAAAGAAAATATCATCTTGAATATATCCTCTAAGTTTGTAATGTATGTCACTCAAATCTGGTCCTCCTCAGCAGTGAATAAGTAGGCGACATATCACGTAGGCAGGGTACGTGATGCAACCTTACTAACACTCATTCGATCCACTGGCACATTATCGTTATACATATTCTGATTTTATTTAGGATGTTGTTGTTAGGTATTTTTAATGACGTAATCCACACAGAATAATTGAGGTGTATCAATGTTTAAATGTAAAATCTATATTTTTGAATGTAAAGATCATGTTTAGTTCAATAGTAAATCTGGCACACATTTGGTGATAATAATTCGTAAGTATCTTCTGTATTCCAGTGGCATTTATTTGACTATTTTTTTGTTATTAAAATACATTTGGCTATGTCACATACCAAAAATAAATACATGTCATATTTATTTTTAATGGCACGTGGAATGTGTTGTGTGAAAAGACCAATATATCATCACTGAAGCCTATATTTAATATGCGTATGTCCTGCAAACCAATCAATCTCCATTTCACTTGTCCTGAAGAAAGTTGTGATGTATTCTGAGGAAATGGAGTTGACTAATGAATTACAGTTTGTATTATAGCCAGTAGAGAGCACTGCTGGTCTATTGTCACATCCAGGCCCAACAGCTTGGAAGGCTTTACGTAAAGGGCTCTCTTAGCCTTCTAAACTCATCAGGCAGTTTAATGCTCAATAGAGTGTGACCAGAAGTGATAAGAGGATGTTTTTAGTTCAATATTATATATTGGTGAGCTGTTGCCCTCATATTTCTTGATGTCTTTAAACAAAACACAATATATCTAACATTGAAAGGGACTTTGCTGTTTGGGCTTCATAGAATGAATAGTCATTTTTACAAACAAATAAAACACTGCAGTTTTTACTGCTTCAGTGAAACAATTGCCATACCGAATGGCTGCCATGGTGAGTTGTTAATGATTGTTTCTCTCCTGACAAACTCCTGTAATTGGCTCATTCTCCGGCACTCAATCAGACACGGAGGTTGCCGGTTTTGTCAGTTACTGTGGGCTTCCTGAGTGGAGGACAAGTGTCTTAATAGTGAGCAGCAGAGCCTTCCACTGTGCCTGGAAATGTTTGACTCGGCTGTGCCTTGCTTCTGGAAGGATCATTTCCTTAAATGATGATTCTTGATAAATGTGATGCTCCCTCAGCAGTGGAGAACAGGCCTGAAAGGCATGATGTCAATCTAAATTTGACGGATGCATGCTGATCAGTTTAGAAACCCATCATGATGTCTACTTCGGTCTACTGCTCTGCAAATGTCAGAGTACTCTTGACATGAAATGCAAAGGAAGCCCAGTACAAACTTCTAGGATCCGTTAAAACTTAAACTGGGTCTCCAGATTAGTTCAGCTGCTGCTGTTCGGTCTGTTTAAGTCACTAAGTGCATTTCTTTTGTGTTGAAAGACATGTTTGATAATTGTCTGTATTCTTTGGTTTTAAGTGTACTTGATTTTTGCATTAATGAATATACAGTATAACATAGTCAGTCTTGTCAGTTATCTATCCCATCTTTAGCTTTGACCTCAACTTTATTGTCCCCAAGGAGGCATTTGTCTAACAGCCAATCAAAACGCAGAACACAGACTTGAACATAAAACATGACAAATACAGAAAACATACTACTACTACCAATATATAGAGATATCCAGGGCTGCCCCCTCTTAGTCGATTAATCAACTAATCGGCCGTTTCGGTCTTATCTTATTTATTTTGTTGATTAGTCATTTTTTAAATTCTATTTCATGCTCAATGACTTATTTCCAACGTATGTGCACATCTCTGTTAAACACAAGAGTTAAAGTGGTGCTTTTATGTGATTCTTTGTGGAGGAACTCAGTTTTACAGGTCTGTCGATTAAATCAACTTAACCATTAGTCGACAAAATCGTACGCGTGTTAGTGGACTAAGAATTATTTTGGTCGAGAACAGCTCTAGAGATATCACACTAACAAACAGACAGGTGGAAGTTAAAATGTGTCAGTTGACCTCACCTTTTTTTTTTGTTTTGACCTTTCTTCTAAGCTGCTATCCAAGTATTTGTACACAGCTTACTTTACTTTATTTTTTCAGAGCTGATTCTGAAACCATACGACCTTCCCAGTTAGCCTTGTCAGAAAGTAAAACACTGAGATAAACCAGTAATAAAAAGATCTATTGGGGTATTATCTACTGTATTTTTGTAAAGCAAAGACAGCCAGACATCACAGTACATTCCCAAGTGAACGTCGGATAAGAAAATAAAAGCCAGCAGCTGAATGCGGTGAACTGAACCCCGGGATGAACTAGGTCTATAATCGGCAAAACCACAAAGCAACAGATTAGTCCTTCTGGGCTGCTGCAGTGGGCCTCTGGATATGCATAATGTTGGACCTTCCTGTTGGGTCTTATCTGTTGCACAGAACATGGTGCATCGTGGGGCACACAGCCACGAGGGACAGCCAAAGGAATTACTTTCTTTTCCCTGCTCTGTTGCTTTAAGCGTAACCCTTTCTTAATGATGCTAATGTGTGGGCCCAATTAAAGGATGGAGCCATTATTCTCTGCTATTAATCAAGTAGAGGGGCTTAATTGAAATCATTTGTTTTCTTTGTCCCTTCACAGGCTCAAACTGAGAACAATTCAGCTTCCCTGACCACGTGAAGCAAGGTGAGTTGCACCGGCTAAATTTGGATATTTTATTGTGAGACATACACCATCTTTAATTTGTATTGAATAAGAGCAGGCTCAGTCAACACTGCCATCCACTGGCAGGTTGTTGGACTCTTTCACTGGTTTGAAAATGAACAAAGAAAAACATGTCTTGGTTGAGAAAGACGACGTTAAAACAGGGTTTTTCAATGACCCATCGAGGTGACGGCGGTTCAGCGCTGCTCTGAACCCGGCTGCTACCTCAGCCCTTTGACAGCCAAAGTCCCTTGATACTGCTGCAGTGGCTATTAATAACACTCGGAGCTCACAGTCAACTAGCTGCTTTCTAGCAGGAGAGAGAATCCACTCTCGTCAACTGGAAAGAGCCGGAACTGAGCCACTGTTTCTTAATTGATTGGGATCATTTTGACCAGAGCAAATCATTGCAGCTGATGGCCCAACTAGGCCTTTTGAATGTCAATGACATGTGTGAGCCACATGATGCCAAATCCTGGTTGGTACTTTACACTAAAGCATGAAAATCTATGGTTAACAATTTTAAAAACACTTCTGAAATATACTTCATTGTGTTTAAACATGATGCTAAACATCATAATGTTCAAAATGTTTAGTGTATGTGGTGCTGATGCTGTGAATTGACATTTGTTTACATTTACACTACTTATTATGTCTGTAAAAATGAAAAGATACTTACAAATACAGAATTTGAAAATTGACTGTCTGTTTCCTGACATTACAAAAAGAGAGAGGCTTTTTGGATTTATAATCTCAGGAGTTTGCATCCTAGAGGGACATATACATTCAGAAATGTTTGCAACGTCGCATCCTTTAGAGGCTGACAGTTTATGTGCTTAGCTCTCGTTGGATAATTCTTTTTCCTTACTTAACGTCAATATCCATGGAGTCACTTTCACTCTTTCTCTCTGTCCTGTGAAGGTGAGCCCAGCGGATTCACTCGCATCGATAAAGGTTTTGACTTTGCTGAAGACCCTTGAGCATGCTCGGACAATATCAGCTTCTAAGGCCTGGGAGAGGACAGGTGAGAGCCATATCATGCACTCAAACAAACAACAAAGTCTGTCTGAATTAGCTGCCAGGCTTTGAATCAAGGAGGAGACCTGATAGCCTCTTTTAGGGCTGTCATTCATGTATATATGTAACATGTAGGCCTCAGCATGACAAGCAACCATTTCAATTGAAAGACACATTTAGTGGTTTATTTATTCTGCTCTTGATGAATACTTTTCGGTTGTGAAGATGCAGACTCACATATGTACATTGGCCCAAAAAAGGGCTGACAAGTATAAGGCTACATTCTTTTGTTGGGTAGATTTCTTTCTAATGTATAGAACTCGCCGTTCCTTTCAGATACCTCGCTCTTCATCTGAATGTCATTTTGAAAGGTGGATATTTAATTTTCCTGTGCAGCTGTGTCCAGGTGAAACAGTGATTGCATTTTGGAGGTAATGTCATCTGCATCTTTATATATTTGGGCCAAACAGGAAACACGTATACATAGTAACAGGCTCAGCAAAGCTCCTGTCAGTGTCTGATGACATTTTAGGAATTTACAATGTCTAATGTGAGGTGTCAGTCTGAAAACCAAGCCACATCTACCATATCAGTGGACTTTTCAAACTAGAGTGAGAACCAAACCTGGCAATAACCTTCAGTTGATCCTCAGACATTACTTTGCATTTCTGTATCGCATGTTTTCTGGATAACCGAGTGTCCTTTACAGTAGCAACAATCTCAGTCTGTTTCTTGCAATCCTCAAACAGTGAGCGGGCAGCATTTACAAAAAAATGTCTTAAAAGTCTTTACTCGTCTGCTCCAAAAATGAACTGTTCTGCAACTAGCTGAGATTTTTGTTTTTGTAGTTCAGTCTGGGAAATCCCTCTCGTTGGGCTTAAGCATGGTTTTGAAAAGATGTGTCAAGGTCCCTTTCGTTGGCGATACTAGCTGCCGCAAAGAATATGACAAAGAAAAAGTATTTTCCTATTTCTTGTGGGTATTCCTTTTGTTTCGTTGTTTTATAATCCACAAAACAAGCAGCAAATGTTTAACAAGGCATGTTGGCCAACGGTTCTCCTTGCAATATTCACTTGTCATGTCGTTCTGGTGACAGCCTCTGGCTTTGACTTGCAAAAGTTGTCATCGCAATATGCAAATGGTAAAATGGCTGTTAATTTTGTGCATTGAGTCTTAAGTAATATGTTGTCAATACCACATTTCTTTAGTGAAGAATGAGTGCATTCATCACACATTACACATTCCCACTCTGTCAGTTTCCTGCCTCACTTTATCTGCTCGCTGTCCATTTCATCCACACTGAACAGTGAGCTGTTTTTGTGATCGAGAAAAAAACTGACTGAGAGCAACAGCCAGCACAAATCACCTTTCAATCAAGTTTTCAGACGTTTGAGCACCGTTTTTGGGAAACTCTTGTTTTTCTCTGTAGCTCAATGAAAGTGATTGCTCCCCTTCTATGTCGTAAGAGGAATCGTTTAAAGCACAGCAAGTCTGCAGGTCAATGTCATGCAAATGATTTAGTCCAAGAGGAATTAAAACCAAATTCCTCAAAAGGCTTTATTCTAAAATGACCCATTTGTTTCAAGTTCATCTTAGATAAGCAGGTAAAAATCTGTGTCATTGCAAGGTGATGAAAGTGGTAATGTGTTATCAACCTGTAGCCCAGGGCTCCTGCTCCACATGTCGGGCAGTGGAGTGAATGCATGTGGTTAGAACTGTAGGTCAATAATAGAAGTAAAGTTGTCCCTTTCTTAGACAGGAATTGTAACCCACAGATATCACTTTGACAAGGTTTTATTCTTAAATCGTAAATTCCTTGTTTGGTAATTAACTTTCCTCATAACTCTTAAAGAGACTTTACAAACCACAACACAAGCCGTTGTATTCAGTATAATTGCCCTCCCTTCAGAATAATTTCAATCTTTCATAACTGAGCCTTAGCGGCTGAACAAAGCCACAGATTTCCACTACGGCTCCCCAATCCAAGACCATTTTAGGATTCCTAGTGAGTGAGCAAAAGCTCTAAAAGCTTCTGAAAGCTGAAAGCGGATGTTCCCATTGTCAGAAGGTCCTTAGCAACACACTCTTCTTTAGTGTCAGATTTACTTTTCGTCAGATCAGGTCACTTCCCAATCAGAATTTGCCACAGACGATTGATGAATGAATTATGAACTAGTCCAACAGTAGTTTCACTGCAGAGCTCATTTTGGCTGACAACTTGGGTCCTATTTTTGCTGTTTGAATACTGCCAACTGTGATGGTATTCCTCTGGAGAGATAGAAGGCAGCTTCATCTAATTGTATTTGGGCTGCAATCTTCACAGTTATGTTGCCCTCCGGACTGAGAATGTTTTACTGCAACCGGCTTCTCTCTGTGTGAATGTAGGGATATTGTTATCTCTTGTACATATTTCAGTTGCATGTTTTAACACATAGGTAGAAAGTAACTTAACATTTTTGATGATGGTGGGGGCCAGATATGTTATAACAGTAAAACAATGAATTGATCTTCTTTCAACTAGAATATATTACACTGTATTAACCTAATGAGCACTTTACTGAGCACTCTTACCAGCAATGATTGAAGTGTGTTTTAAAATACATGTACCCTCGGAGTGTCATGGGTGTCCCTAAATTTGTAAATCAGGGGTGTCCAAACCAATCATTCTTGCAGCAGCAAGAGTGTGACATTCCCTATTATGAGCCTAATTTAGGAGACTTGTTAAATTAAAAGGCTCATGATAGTCATCTCAATGTGTCAGTTTGAAGCATTTTGTGATGAAAAGGGAATCTGCTGTAGGTATTAGATGCCTTTATCACGACTAAACTTCACTCACCAGTCTCCGTGCTTTCAGCACACACAGTCAAATGCGCATGCTTTGCCTGAAATCTTTATCCTTCAGATCTGTGATTTATCATGCAACTAAGACTGACATTGTTAAATTCCTGCTGCTTTTCTGGGCAGATTAAAGTGACTAGTGAGACGGTCCTCTGAAAGTTTTCCTCTGCAAATCTTTTTCCATACTGGGCTATAAGTTGAGCCATCTTGTAGCTAGCCCTTGTTGCATTTTACCGAGTGTGGGTGATCAAAGAAATTGGCTTTCTTTCCCCTTGTAGGACTTGAGGACTAGTATATAGTTTCAAAATGTCTTCTCGTGTTACAGTATTCGCTGGGGGCAACTCCTCACTGTCGATGTCTGTCCACTTAAAGTTCTTGCTTTTGCCACCGACGGGCTCAGATTGTTATTATAAGTGTCTGACAACATTTTGGAAAGAACCCAACAGTGAGGTAAAACGTCTTTCTTTTACCTTGCGCTTGATCCGGTCTATCCAGCTTTAGTTTTGACGTCTCTCGTGTAATTCAATATCGGGCTAGATTGATTAATTGATTTAAATTGTGCAATAAGGCATCTTTCATAAATGTCTTCTTCTTCAAAAGGCCTTAGTCTGTGTAATGGTCAGTGTCTGGTGAGACTTTGTGACTAAACCTGGTCTCCAGAGGGCTTTGGAGAGTGGTGAGAAGCCACTTATGGAATGGGAGTAAATGAAAGAAATGAGATAAGGATGTGCAGCCGGTCTGAAAGGACAAAGACGGAAAGTAGTAGTAAAAAAATAAAACGTACAATTAAGAAAAAGGCCAGTGAGATTGTCAGAATAATTTGGGATCACCTTTTCATGACATTTCTTTAATAACTGTGGTCGAACAAAGAGCCCTGCTCTTCAGTGTCTATCACCAGTATATAACTCATCTGGGGGTTTTCAGTTTCAAGCTCCAGCTTTTGAGTATCCCTTAGTGATGCTCTCGTTGTAGCATTTTCTAGAAACATTTCATTTTACATTTACTCTCATCTTCTTTATTTGATAAGATATCTAGTTGCTGTGTGTTGCAGCAGTTAGCCTCTGAGGAGCTTACTGAGGAAGACTTGTATTACAGTGTTATGATGTACTGACAACTTAATTGAAATCGTAGTCCTGTGTGCTGAACCCAAAGCCACATTGAAGGTGTGGGAAATAAAATGGTCACTGTAGACTCATTACCCACCTGGCAAAATCGCTGCCTCACTGATGTGTTTAATAAGGATTTGAAACACAAACGCAATGTCACTTCTAAGTAAGACGGTGGCCTTACCAACTTCGATTTAGGACTGACTTACATTTTTCTGATTTGCACAAACTTGCAGGACATCTTTTAAAACTCTACTCGTATAACGTTGTTTTCTGACAACAGGGAATTTAGTCAAGCGTCATACAAATTTACGAGTCTCTCCGAAAGTTTGGATTAAAAGTCACTCAAAAAGAATATCCCATGGTTGTGAAAACTGTTCGTTTTGCATATACTTCAGCTTGTATTGCTACAGTAAGATCCGTTCAACAAAATTAACTTTATCACCTACATTTTTGTGGCCTCTGTTGACCCTTCTACTCTGTATTTTACATTGTGTAATACAAGAGTACTTTTTTATACCATAGCCCCATTTTGTCTTTTTTAGGGGGGTTATCATGGAATATGTTGGTGGCGAGAGAGCATTTCAACAGTATATGCCACATAGAAGTGGTGTACATCATCTGAAAGCTGGGAACCTGCATTGCATTATACGTAGGAAAGCCATACATCCCCTGAATGCCCCGGGTCTCTAGTTTGTGCTTGTTCATGAGGTTGTGATTATCCTAGAGGTCACAACGGGACATTTTATGCAGTGATGTCAAGTGGAGGTTTTGAAGGACTGGGGTGATGTGATCTCTGCTGTGGGATGGGGAGAGCAGACGGGCAGCTGAGTTCTGGATGTATTGTAGTTTGTTGATGATTTTGGTGGATGTGCTGTATACAGAATGGCGTGGATGAGTGGCTGAGAAAGAGGGAGGGGCATAGACAGGCGATGTTTTTTAAGTTGAAAGGTGTTTTTTGTGATCTGTATTGGCTTTACTTTTCAGACCCAGAGGTTCAGCCTCTTAAAGACAGTCATGTTTGCTGAGGACGCCAGCGTCCCACGGGAGGTTAAGCAAAGAA